AAATATTGAGTAAAGTATAATATAAGTTGGAAAATTTATTGCATGTTTCAATTCATTTTATCTGGCTCTATTTACATATTTGGTTGAAAAAATCTTTTGTTTTGACGTGATTGGATTATCAAACAATTTATTGAATAACTATTCATTATCTTTTATATTGTCATATTCTAAATATTAATAAATATAAATAATGATAAAGATATATTTTATATGAAGTAGAAGAATTCGGAAAATATATTTGAAAAAAGTTTACTACTTATTAATAACCTGTTTGAATATAATGGTATATAATTACTACCAAGTGACTAATAATCAAGATGTATTTGTAGAGTAATAGATTTTTATAATAAAATACAATTGAATACATGCTGACAGTTGGTATAAATATTGTTGGATTGCAGTTGAAGAATATGAACTAAATTCGATATTCTTTTGAGTGATTACCTATATTATTACTCTTTTAAAATAGCAATCATTTTTCTATTTATTTGGATAATGGCAGAATAAGAAGTAATCATCTGTATAATATCTAACTAAATGTATTTTTATGTTGCTAATTATTTATGTATATTTATTTAATTTACTGTAGATGGTAAAAAAGGCTTTGGTGGTGCATATGGAGTTGATGAACGTCCAAAAGATAAATCTGCTGTTGGTTTCGATTATCAAGCACAAGTTGAAAAACATCCATCACAAACAGGTTTTTAGAACTATTATTTTGATCAAAATGAAAAAAGAAACAAATATTTTTCTTTTTCTTTTAGATTTTTCAAAAGGTTTCGGTGGTAAATATGGTACTGACCCAAACGCACAGGATAAATCGGCAGTAGGTTTTGCTCATAAAGAAGCAGTACCAAAACATTCCTCACAAAAAGGTTACTTATAATTACCTTTCTATTTCTAATATATCTATATCTATATGAATATTAGATTATAACGTTGGGTTCGGTGGTAAATATGGTATTCAAAAAGAAGAACCTAGTCGATTGACTACTTCAGCAACACCACCAAGTGGTAAATGAATTTATTTTAGTGTTAATATTAATTTGCAATCTATATTAATTTTTTTTTAGAACGAAAAGTTGAGGAGAAACCTGCACCACCTGTTGGTAGTAGTATAGGCGTGGGTAATATTCGAGCAAGGTAAATTTCAAAAGAAAGATTGCTAATCTTAGAATCATATAACACATATATATTAAAGATTTGAAAATATGAAAAAAGAACAAGAAGAAGAAGCTGCAAAACGTGTTACTGAAGAAAGAAATAAACGAGCTGTTAACGAACAACAACCAACTAGTAATGGTAATAGTAATGGTCACAGCAAAATCAATCATTCAGAAATACCACCAGCACCACAGCAGCCATCAGTTCGAGAAGCATCACCACCACCGTCGACTCATCGATCTGAAACTCCACCACCAGCACTACCACAAATCTCTGCTCCAACTGTATATGAAAATATGGCTCACAAATATGAACCACAACAATCAATACCCAAATATGAACCACAACAACCAATACCCGATTACGAGAAAACAGAAGAACCTATTAAATTTATTGGTAATGTTAATGTAGCATCATTATTACGACAACGAAAAACTTCATCACCAACACATGAAGATGATGATGATGATTGGGCTGAAGATCACCCATCATATAATCAACCACAATCGCCAACATCAGTTGTTCCATCAGAACAACCATCAAATAATAATAATCATAACGAAGGCATTAAATGTGTAGCTCGTTATAGTTATCAAAAAAGTAAATGAAACAATTTTTTATTTTGCTTTTTACAACATTTATTCTAATGTATTTAGCGGAAGAAGATGAATTAGGTTTCGAAGAAAATGAAATTATTACAAATATTCAAAAGGTAAAAACGATATTGGCTTATTTTTTGTTTGCTTGATAATAATAAATAATTTATTTTTATATTCAGATGCATGAGGAATGGTGGTTTGGTAAAATCGGACAGAGATCAGGCTTATTTCCATCCAACTATGTTGAAGAAATATAGTGATAATAAATTATACGAAACTGTTAACGATATTCTTATCTAATAAACAATCTGTATACAATCGCTGCAATTATTAAATAGTGTCCATATATATATTTAACTTTCCATCTATGTGATGTAAATCAAGGGTGTGAAAATTGTCCTTTTTTTATTATACATTTATGTGCTTTTCTCTTCTTGTACGATGTTTAATTGACTTTTCTTTTATTCTATTCAATAAACGAGCAGCGGTGCTATTCCTCTATATAAAAAAAAACTTATGATATATCAGTTATAGAACAAAGACAATACAATGGATAAGTAAAATCTCATAGCAAAAAACTTCTGCAGATCGTAAAAAAAATAATAGCTATTGTCAATTATTATGACACAATATAACTCATATTAATAGCTTTTATAAATTTCTCTCATTGAAATCTCATTTCATTACATAGTATTATGAGATATTCTATAGTAAGGCAAATGATACATTTTCATCACAAGATCGCCTCTAATTTTATGATCATAACAAATATCAAAATGAGTCAATGGCAGAAATTTCATCCATATGATAAAATATATAATACTGAATAAATTCCAACTAAGTCAATTTATTGATATTGGTATTATTCTTTTATCATCGAATGTCAACAAATACATATCCACAAAGAAAAAAAAGAAATCATGAATAATAACACATCGTCAAACAGAGATCATAAAAAGCGAAATACAAAAAAAAACCCGAACCATTCATTCTCATTGATTTCTATATACAATTCTTATAAGAAAACAAACGTAGAAAAAAGGAAAAAAGTTTTATACACATACACACAACTGTTGTGAAATCAAAACAACTAATTTGGTGGAATGGTAATCGAGGGTAAGATGAAACAAAACAAAGATACTTGAATATAACCATACGAACTATTCAATTCTTATTATTTACAAAATGTAAAACGATTCGCTTGTATAATAATTTCATTCTAATAATCATTCAATCACTGTTATTAACAAGTATAAGTAAAATATTCAAAATAATAATCAAAGTGTCATTGTGAACAAATTTTCTTAATTAATTACCAAATCAATTCATTGTCGATGTTGCGATGGATAATAATGTGCTCCATTAATTTTCATTTTATAGTCTGACCAGGAATCATGTAAATTAGTTCCATTTACAGGTGTACTATGATCATGATGATAAGAATTTGACGTTGTATCTAGAATAAAGTCGAATAATAAAGTTTTCATTGATATAAATATTATTCTTACTATTATTCGTTGGATAAGTAGGATTTAATACTGGTTCATGTCGGTGAATAACTTGCTGAGATACATAATGATTCGTGGTATTAATATGATTTACGTTTGTTGATGATGTTTGCATAACATTGTTATTATGTTGATGAATATCAAATTTAGTATCTAATGCAGAATTTTGTGTAGGAGTTGAATTAAGCATAGATGATGCCGTTAATTCTTTATCTGAAATTTATATTATAAAAATTTCTTTCTTTTTTAAAAGATAATAAAATGAATACATACTATTTGTTGCTGCTGCTGTTGTTGCCGTTGAACTTTTATTATTATTATTAGCTACAACAGTATTTGATTGTCCTACAATTTCTACACTAAGTATACCGAGCTCAATAAGACGTATATTTCCTTGAACAGCAAGCAAATGAAGTCGATCAGCTGCTTCTTTTGGAATATTAAATGTAACTTTTATACTATTCCACGGTTGTACTTTTTTTAAAGCAAATCGTCTTCGACCTATATTAACAAATATTATAACTTTATTCTTTTATTTTAATCATTAATACCTGTATGAAGTATTTGTCTAAGACTATCTCTAATTTCATGTAGTTTTGTTTTTAATTGTGGATCAAGATAGTTAGCTTTGCATACAAGCCGTATTTCGACATATTCATTTGGTGCCATAATTATTTGGCATCACTATATAAGCAAAAAATAAGAATTAAAAATACAGATATATTTTATATACCTTACGCTATCGAATATATACATATATATATTGATCTAAAATGATATAGATGTAATTTTTATTATTTTAACTGTCAAGATATATTCATCGATCACTCTGAAACTAGCTGAACCAGAGCATATAGATATAGTAGTCACAATAGTCAAAGGAACAAAGTTGTTTTATTGGATAATCTATCTTCCAATCAATATTATAATATTCCTTCAAACACTATTAAAGAGGAATATTGTAAGAGTACACTTTGAATATGGCTACTGTAGTGTAACAATCAAACTAAGAGAAAAAATATTCTTTGCTAATAATCTTTTCTTAAATTATATTGAAAGAATAACAGTATACGAGCACGAGAAAATAATACAAATACGGACGATATAAATCATAAATAAAACAGAAATAATGCGAATCATGATAATGAGAAAACTATATTATTTATTGCATTGTTTGGAAGAATATGATCTCCTCGAACAATATTTGTTACATACAAAAGAAATTGATTAAATCTATCTGAATGGAATTACTTTTATTCGGAGCTTAATTCATGTAACTGACTGCACTCAACAAACCAGAAATAGATATCGAATAAGATTCATTTATCATAGAATTAAGAAGGACAATATCTACATTCATCCTCTGATTTTATATATAATTGTCATATAAGGAGTCACATGATTAGAAACAGAATTCTGTGAGTACCGTATATTGAACTAAAGAAAATCATAGTGAAATAAAATTACTATGACTAGAATAATCAACGAAAAAAACAAATTGTCTGATGTTGACATCCATACTTTGCGTACGGATTCACACAGTTTTAAACTGACAGAATAGACGTATAGTTGCACTCTTACTTATTTATATTGATGCATTAAAGAACATAGTAGACAATATTATTTCTTAGTTGAAATATAGCTTATTGTGATACGTTCAAGTATAGTATTTATACTTGTACATTATAATTATTATTTTGATGAAAAACAATTTTTATTTTATTTTATTTTATACGCAAGTAACATTCACAGGATTTATTATTAGTTGTGCTTGAGCGTTACTATTAGAAAGACTACATACAAGATGAATAATAGATTCAAATTTGGAATGATAAACAAAAACATCTACAAGTTCATTTGGAGCACCGTTAATTATGATTGTCATTTGAGTATTTTCAGAATTTAAATTGAGAGAAGAAAATCTTTGTTGACTAACAAATGTCCATTTATTAAGTTCACCCATAAAAACATATTTCGTTGATAATGAATCATTAAATTGCCATATAGGTGAACTATACCATAAACAAAATGTTGTATCATTACATTTTTCGGTTGATATAAAAAGTGAATGATTTTCATCAAAAGTAAATAATTCATATGGATTGTCAAATGACCATATTATTCCAGAAGGTGATCCAATCATCGAAGGTATTATTGAATAATTACGTATCATTGATGATGCAAATATTATTGAAAATATTTGTTCATTTCTAAATACAAGAAAAAATGAATAATAGAATTTTTGTAAAACAAAAACAAACGAATTAAATTACATAATGGTTTGTGTAGAATAAAGTTCTCCTTGTTTAAAACCTTTATACAATGCCCAATCAGATATTAATAAATCAATCATTGTTAAAGGTCGTGATGGTTTTAAAATAAGACCATCTTGTCGACAACATTTCATAATACGTATATTATCAATATAATTAATACTATCAGCAACAGCTACTGGACCAGTCGAAAGAGTCGCTATTAGAATTTCTCTATCAGGTAATGGTTCTCGAGCTGTTACTTTATAAGGAGCACCTGGTTGAATTGAATTTGACCAGAAAACATCTTTAAATGGTGCTAAACCAAGAGCATTAGCTAACATTGATGATATACCAATTTTCCATTGTGGAATTTTATTAACAATATGAACATAATAATCATCGGATACTCTTGCTTGTGTAACACGATCAATTTCTAATGATTGAAGAGCATGTCGTGGTAAACTCATACAATATTGAATATTTATATTAAATAAATTAGCTGCATTACCCATTGATATTAACCATTGTCTTCCAAGATCAAATTCTTGACGTGTTGGAATAAAATCAATTGTTTGATGATTCATCCAATCTTGTTCATATAATATTAAATTCCAATTTGTTGATGAATAATTAAATAAATCAATCCAAAATGAATCATTACCTAATGGAAGACTTTTTAAATTTAAATTATCAATTATAAAAGAATAATTTTTTGTATATATTGTATCAGATGACCAATATCTATTATGTGCTGCTAATGGAAGATTTGTCAATTTTTTATTTAATCCTTCAAGACCATCAGGAAATATATCCGGGCGAGCAGTCCATTCTGAAACTCCATCAGCTAAACTTTTATAATACCACCAAGAATCTAATTGAATATATTGAATTGGAATTGTTAAATTTTTTTTTATTTCAATTATTGTTTCTTCATAATTCATTTGAGATTCTGTATGATAATAATAATAAGCTCCATTATCTGTATAATAACCAAGATAATTTATAGTTAAATCATCTGAACGATATTTCAATGTTTTATTATAAACTAAACGCATTAATTTTCCCCATTCATCTATAAGTTGATTTATACCATTGGATGAATAAAAAATAATTAAAGAATTTGTTGAATTTTTTGGAATTGTTTTAATTGAACCCATATAACCATATTCTAAAATATTTCCATTTATACTTAAAGAACTTGACATAAATTGAGAAAATGGACTAATTAGAATTGCATCACCTTGACCATTTTGTGTTGAATTAAATATTATAAATGGTCCGCCACTCATTCCACTTTTTTCAAAGTGACTTTTTGAATCCCATATTCCTGCATGTTTTTCTAAATCTCCCAACATCATTCCTTAATCAAGAAAAAAACAACAATTATTTATTAAATTAATAAAATAAATACCTGCAAATGTAAAATAAGCTCGTTGATCATCTTCCTTGAATTTTTCAATATAAAATGAAGGAAAAACTGTTCTCACTCTATCCATATCAAGTAATATATCATTATTTAAATCAAATAAATCATTATCAAAATAAAATGTTATTGCGGAGAATAATTTCCATTGACGAATTCTTCCTGTTACATTAATGGATTTTTCATCTGAATTAAAATTATAAATAAATTCAGTTTCATTCCATTGTCCTAATATTAAATCATCTCCTTCATTAAAATTCTTTCCAATTAAATGAAGAGATTCATTATTCTTTGTTGTAAACCATTGATTTGAATTGTATAAACTTGTGTAGGATGAACGAAGCCATATCCGATTGTTAATACTTATATTATAATCATCTTTTAAATCATCAATTACTATTTTTATATCACAATTATAGCCAACAATTATTAATAAAAATATTAACATATACATAATATAACTCATGAGTAAATATTGAAAACAATGTGAGGTATAATTAATGATTGGTTAAATTGAGTATCCATCGATCAGGATAAAAATATGATTCAATCGATTTTATTTATTAAATTCTCCGTAATGATTGGATTTTCTGAAAGTGACTTTTTTGTGATATTCTAAAGAAAATATATTTATATTTGACAGAAGACAGAGTGACGAATAGGAACGATTTTTTTTGTTAATATAGGTACATATATAAATTGAGTTTCATGATAGATGTCATATTCATTTGCTCTTGTAAAAATATTCAATGTACGAATAAGACACATGTTTGTCTTATGGTTTTTCTACAAACATCTGCTTTTTTTGTTTTGTCTATCTGACTAATGCTAATGGATTGTTATCAAATTACTCCTCATGAATTTTTCAAAGCTAATATTAATCAACATAAAGTAAATATGTTTAACAAGAAAAAATGTGTCTAGAAAAGAAAAAGCATCGGATATATTTTGAAACAAATGTTGACTTTCTATCCAAGTTTCCATATGAATTAATATCAATATAACACTTTTACGGTATCAATAATATTCAACAAGTCGAAATTATAATCACTTATTATTATTAGGATTGAATTAGATTAAGTCATAATAAAATTTGTTCTTAATTTAATTTATCTTGTTTCTCGATTAATCAAAAAAGAGGAGCGAGAGAGAGAGAAAAAAAAACATTGTATTATTTCTCCAATATAGTTTCTTTCTTTTTTTTCCTGTTGTATTACACATACATAAACAAACAGCAGAAGAAGAAAAGAAAAAAAAAGAAGAGAGAGAGAGTGTATTCCACAGTTTACATAGAGCACTCTTACAATAAATTAATTATAATCGAGTAGTATAAAGAGCGAAAAACGACAAGAGTATCAAAGCTGATTTTATTTTTCAATACAAACAAAAAGCCGAAACGAATAAAGAAAGAGGAAAGAATTCACTGGAAATAGAATCTGTACAATATATGAGAGAAGAAAAGAAACTGAACGAAATGCTTTTTGTTTTATTTTCTGTGCATGTTCGAAATAAAAATAAAAATCATACACATGCTCAATACCGATCTGGTTGTGACCTAATTAAAAAGAATAATTTATTGATAGAACTTATTTGTATCTTCTTACTTTGATTTAACTTTAGTACGTTCATCAAAAAATGAAACTGTTTTATCACTATTTGGTGAACCAGCTCGATTTACAATCGAATGATTTTGATCAATATTTATTGATCGAGCATAATCTGATGCACTACTCAATAAACTTGATTTTCTTCCATTAAAATCGCCAGTACCACCACAAATATTGTCACTATTATATTCTCCACCCGGTACAGCACATGCATCTCTATAAAAGAAGAAGAAATTAACTATCATATTTCTACTATATATTTCAAACATACTTAATTGATCCAGCTAATGCTTTAAGACTATCCATTGTTTTTGAAGATTTTTCACTGATAGTTATACTTTCAATATCAAAACTTTTACAATCACTAACTTCAGCTTGAACTTCCAAGCTAAAATAAAAATTTAGATATTACAAAATACGAAGAAGATTATGAATTCTTACCGATTTGGTGGTAAACTCTCACAAAATGAAACAGCACTTGTACCAGGTAATGCTTTTGTACTTCCATTACTTCTATCATCAACAAGATGTGCAACACTATTTGATAAACTAGTTGAATCACCTCCTATAGTTGGATGTGTCATCACACTTTGATTGTCTAGAATAGAAAATTTTTATTTTTAAAATAATCCTGAAAGAAAAAACATTTTTATTTTACCATTCAGAATTGCTCGTGCAAAAGGTGTTTCACGTAAAGAAAATGGTAGAAAACTATCTAGATTAGGACCATTACCATCTGACATATCACCTCGTGTGCCAACACCACAACCACCTGTTCGACATAAAGATATTGGAATAACCTAAAATTTATTCAAAGAATGTTTTTGTTTGTCTAAATAATAAAATAAACTAGATGACTTACTCCATAAACATAAGCTAAAAGAATTGGAACACCAATTCCAACAGCAAGTGCAGCAATTACTGGTGATGCAATAACACTTCCAATAACACCTAATGTTACAAGAGTATTTCTTTTTGTTCGACTATATTTTGTTTTATTGAATTTTTTAAATATTTTTCTTCCTGCCCATACAGGTACGCCGATAATAACGCCTGGTACAGCAACACCAGCAATTAATGCAATAATAACTGGTGCACCAATCAATGTTGCAACTTGCCAAAGAATAACTTTCTTTCTACTCCACTGTTTTTTACCCCAAAATGTACAACCAGATGGACTAAAAAGATTAATTATAATTTTTAAAAGAATAAAATCAAAAACATTTCTTACCTTAAATAATGTAAATCTGATATTTCTCGTCCACATAACCAACAAAATTCTGCTTCACATATCGGACAAGTCATATGATTCTATAGATAATTAACTTTAATATGTATATTGAAAATAATATCTAAAACTTACGCAAGAACCATCATCCATTTTAAGTATCGATGCTTGACATCTTGGGCATAGTTTAATTTCATCTCTTTGTTGTGCAGATCCAAGACTAATAAATGATCCTGAACGAAGTTTCGATGATGTTTTTTCTCTTGCAGCATCTTCACATGTTTTATTTGGATGCCATGTTGCTTTACAATGATAACAAAATGATGTATTACATCCTGGTCTAAGACATTGAATTTCTGGACATGATGCATAACCAGATGCAATAACTGCAAAACCACAATCAGGTGCAGGACACCATCGTGTATCAGTTATTGATTGTAAAACACGTCGAACCATAAATTGTTCATATTTTAATATAAGATCAGGTTGATCTCGTAAAATTCTTGATATATCACATGGATTTATACGTTCTGGACAATCACTTTGTGGACAATTAAGTGTTACACGACCTTCTATTATTTCTAATCTTAAAAAACTTTTAAAACATGTTCGACAATATGCATGTGAACAAACAGTTAAACGTTCAAATTGTTCGGAAGGATATTCATGATAACATAATGCACATGTTTCAAGAATATTATTGTCATGTAATTGATTTGTTGTTGTTGTTGTTGTTGAAGGAAGAATATTAACAATATGAGGTTCATTAGTTGATGGAATAATTGATTCAACTATTTCATCTTTAACAATTGCTAATGATGATTTTAATGATTCATTATCATTTATTGATGAATTAGTAAGATTTTGTTGTTGTAGTTGTTTAGATGTTTGACAAGAATTTGTATCACGTTGACGAGAAGAAAATCGAACTGATGATGAAGGACGACTAGTAGTAAAATGAATAATATCTAAGAAACGACGACGTACACTTCCATTGCCATTACTGGATGTACTCGTAGTTAATATTTCTAAAAAAAATGAATAAAGAATGAAAATATATATATATATATATATTTATTTACTTTGATTTGTTGATTGAGTAGTTGCACTGTTCGTTGGTAGAGAAAGTAAATTTGAATTTAACGGCAATGATGTTGTTGTTATCACCGGTGATCGATCTTTTGTTAATGAAGATAATGAATTCGTAGTTGCAGGTTGTTTTAAGGATGAACGTTGTTTACGATTTTTAGAAAACATTATCAATGAATATAACTAACAGGAAAAAAAAATATCAAATATTAATAAACTCGGTTGTCTTTTTGTCATATTCGAGAAAAATCTTATTCAAACAGATAAAGAAAATAGTTTACACAAAAACAGCTGATAGTCTTTTTTTTTGTTCTTTTGTTAAGAAAATATGTAGATACGTAATATATTATCAAGAGTAATCAAAACTTACTTTACTGTTAATATTTAATCACTTAATATCATAATGAATAAAAAAAAAGAAAATAATTCGTTATTATTATGCGTACAAAATTATTGAATATAAATCTAGAAGGAAAGCATAAAAAGGTATTCATTAGAGCTATTTATATCACAAACAAATTATATTATAAGATGAGTAGGACGTAAAGAAAAAAGCATACGTATTTTTTTCGTTGAGAAATATATGAATCAGCTAGAAAAATTGATTACTAACTATCATGCAGAAAAATCATAACTCATTTTGTTGTTAAAGAACAGAAATATTTTTTGTTGTTGTTTATTATTTCAATGAATATAACCAATCCTATGCTAAATGACTCTTTGTATGATTGGTTGAACAAATCCAACCAATAGGAAATGCTCTCTTATATCATGCACGTATTATTATAGAAATAGAAAAGATACTTGGCTGTTATGTATCATGAAATTCATTAAAGTAAACGAATAAATAAACATGTGAAATATATTACTACTGAAAAAAGACTTCTTTATATTAGTTGTGATTTTATTGTTTTATGATGTCAAAGAACCTCGAAAAAGTAGAGTTGTAAAACAGATAAAGTGAATATAACGATATAAATAGAGATATTTCATTTTTCAACAATAAATATAATACCTACTATCAAAACTTAACTTAAAATGAAATATTATCAGAAAATATAAGAAAAGCTATGGAAGTATTGTCGAATAATGATAATGTTTACATGTCTTTTACATACTTGTGAATATTATTTCAATGATTCAGTTACATAGTGTACTTATATCTAAATTTATTTCGATAATGTAACAGCTGTAATATTTATTAATATACTCAATGAATATGACAATATCCTAACAAAATTGTCATATTATTCTTTTTTCCATTTGAGGATCGTGTACTTGACAGTCTGCTATTATTTAAATCAATTTGTCATAATCGATTTTTTCGACAAGAACCAGCAGTTATCATTGTGTCATTGAAGATATTATTTAAAATAGAAAGAAGATTCTCAACCGAATCGTATCTCTTATAATGTGATTTTATTTTTTATTAGATACAGTCTTACGATAGTGGCTACAAGTACGATTGAAGACCTTTAACTAATGTCAACAATTTTTGTACCGAATGTAATATACAGAATAATTCGAATTTTTTGTTGCTGAATATACTGGATGAAACTCCTCTTTTTTTATCGATGATCGCCCTTTAAAGTGGCATCATTTGATGTGGAATTAAATTTAGGAACCATCCCAAATTTCTGAGTGAATATCAGCAAGAAAAATTCGAATCCATTGTTGACTTTACTTATATTATTTACTTCCAGACTCTTGATTTTGTTAATTAGATAAGATTCTTTTCATCCTGAACTGTTGATAAGAATCTTGTTTGATAATTGAGAAAAACAAAAAAAAGTCTGAAAAGAAATGAGACAAGATCGTCGACTAATAATAGTATGAAAGGTCACATCAGTGCATAAGAACAGACTCATCAATCTTCAAATTTCAAGATAACAATAAATGAATGTAACAAACAGGCAAGAGACAAAAAAAATTATAGTATTTATAAAAGAAGATATGTATTGATGAATTATTTTATTATCTGATCTGAGCTTAGTTAGTTAGTTAGTTTTTCATCTACTATTGTTATATAACATTCAATGTATACAAAAAAGATTGCAAGAGATTTTTTTCAAGAGAATTCAATTTAAAAAAAATGTTCGCTAAAAACTGTCTCTTCATGTTTTGATAGATCGTAGAAAACGATGATATAAATTGTATTATATATTTCAATGTAGAATACGAACAGAATCACCTTCTGCTCGTAATTTGACGACTATTCTCCAAGGAAAAGGACAGATCTCGCCATCGATATATAGCTGAACTAATCGATTAGTTCGATGATGTTGGAGTTGGATCTGTTGATCATTACAATCTACTATTAACGTCACTTCATCACCGGTTTCTAAGATTTTCTTGTCATCGCTCTTGTGAAGTTCACTAGCTACAACAGATCGAACTATATCCCACCATCCATAAAGAGATGTATCGAACATATCAGCTTTTCTTATCTTATCCGACGATGTACTGATTCCAAAAAAAATTGAATTTTTAATATTTTCGATCCGAAACTTTATACGATGTACACCCGTTGAATATAAATTAATACCATAAATAATCGCAGGAAATAAAAATGTTCTCGAATAACATGTAACTAGAAGATTTTCTTCAGATGTTTTTGCTTTTCCGTCAATTTCATCGAATTTTTCATTAAACGCTAATACAGAATTCGATCTTTGAACAGCAGTAACTGAAGAGCGCCGTGAGGATTCGATAGAAATATTATTCGAGCGAAGATACTGTCGATCATAAACCTGAATTATAGAAATGCTCGATTTTGATTTATCATCTTCAACAATACAAAAAGACGACGGAGATTCAAATGACTTTCGCAATTCTTCCAATTGTTGACTCCATTTCTTAATATCGAGTTCAGTAAAATCAAACGACTCTCGACATGATTGAAGATCATCAGTTATCTTACTAACAGATTTTTTTATCTCTTCCTTTCGTCTATCAACTAATTGTCGAAGATCATTTCGAGCTGTTTTTGCAACTGCTTGAATCTTAGCAATAGCTTCTTGTTCCCACGTATCAATGCGAATAAGAAGATGCTGATCTATATTAGGTTGATTTAAATCTCTTCGTAAGAGATCATGTTCTAAACCAACATGTTCCAATTGTTGAACAAGTTCTTGTCGATGTTCATCAAAATGTTTAATACAAAATGATTGTTGACAACCATCACATATTGCTACTCCAACACCTTTACTACATTTCGAACATGATCTTCTTAAAATAGTTGATGCCATTATTACACTATAATAAATTACATGTGATTCACGATACTTTTTAATCTATTTTTAATTACTTACCTTTAACTAAAAACAATCCGTAAAAATAAATGACGCTCACATGATAAATTAAATGTCATATTTCTATCTTTGCTTAATGACAGTTTACTAATATTTGCTGACGAATCACATTGGATATGTATTCAGCAACTAATTAAAATGAATAGTAATACATGAAATTTTTTTTCATAGGTGTCAGTAAATTATTATGACCGTAAAGATTCGTTTGCATAAGAATGAACTATAACTATTGCTTAATTTACAGTATGAACTAACTGAAATCCTAAAGAAATATGTTTCCTTTAGTGTTAAAAAAAATCAAAATCATGAGTTAGTTTTTGATTGACAAAAAAAGAAACTCTGTTCAATATCATAAGGACGTCTTAATAATAGTTAAATCGGTTTAAATGTATTATCGTAGAGGAAAGTTATTGCCATCTATATGATACAATTTTTTAATATATTTATTCTAACGAAAATAATGAAAACACATATTGATATCGTTAAATGTTTATGAAACAATAGCATGAAATATACGTTAACTGATTATATTGATTACTATGCATTATTTCTCTCATATTCAAGATGGTTATAACATCATATATACAACAAAAAAAGGTAAAATTTCATTTTTTTAATTTATAAAATTAATCAATTGTAAAGATAGTGACTATTGCAAACTATATATTATACTAAAACTATAGCCAAATCATCGAGTTCTATACTACTGAGAATCTGATGATACAAAGTAACTTTTTTGAGTAAATATTTCTATTTAAAAATGTTTCATGATTGAAAATATTTGCTTTCGATGACCAAAAACATAATTTTGATAGTTAAATGAATGATTTTTATGTGTCAAATAGATATTAGCTGCATTAGAGTATTCTCGTATATGAGGCACTTCATTTCATTACATGACATTGAAAATTTTTGTTTGTCATTAATCAATCATCTCCAAACTTTTATTTATTGAGCAAAGAAAAAAATGCAATTCTTTTTGTCTTTTTATATATCAAAACAAATAATAGAATGTTCAGTGCAATTATGAATTGATAAACACCAATTTATTTAAATATATTAATCTACTTTATGCATTTGAATATCAGTGATAACTTATCTAATAATAAAGTATTCTATGTATTATGTATGTACTTCTATTGCTACACGTAGTTTAATGTCTGTGTAGGTTGCAAACACGGACGAATAAAAAAGTCTACTATTGGCTTCTTTTTCTTTTTCCAACGACGCTTTTGAAATAATCTTATCGTCAATATGTAGCCATTATTAATGTTACTTTGTGCCGTTAAAAAGAATTTCTATCTATATGCTTGACTTAAATAATATTTTGATTTGATTCAAGTTAGGTTGAAATTTTGTTTTTTTTAGTTAAAAATAATAGCAGTGACCAGAATTATTCAATTACACACACACCTTTTTGCACAAAAATAAACAAATTATAACCAGCATCAAAAGCAAACAATTTTATAATCAGTGAAAATATCGTTGTGGTTGTATATAAACTATGTCTTTCTACAGAATTAACTCCCCTTTTTCCCCTTCGAGTATACGAAATCAAAAAAACACTGATCATGAAGAAACAAAAAACAACATTTTTAGCATACATATTTCTCGTTATACAAATAATCTTCAATTAAAAAACTGCTTTACTTTTTTTATTTACTAAAACAAATGGAGTTGCTTAGAAGAAGCCGTCATAAGTTATTGAAATGGGTTAGTTTTAAACTAAAAAATACTATCGATAATTATACTTGCGTAGGTATTTCCTAGACAACATTCACAGCGAGCTGTATTCAATAAAAAAAAGTAGTATTTATTTTCTATTAAAAACGATATATAAAGATAGTCAAAAAAGAAGGGTTCACAATATTCTACCTTTTATTAGTGATATAAATATTATAAATAAAATTCATAATTCTGTTGATTCAACATATTGACATGTAATATGTTATTATGGACATCGAAATATACGGTGAAGATGTGAGTGATGCTGATGAAAATATGATATGAGTATAATAGACATACCCATTCGCATCCACACAAATCAAATGATTCTTCACTGAATAGAATCATGTAATCAATGTAGTTTAAAATTGTATATCGATCATCCTCAAATAAATGTTATTTTTTACATGCCGAGAGATAACATAATAGAACTAGGGTAATTTCTCACAAATGCTTTTATTATTTTATGGAGAAATGGCCATAACAAGTGATAAGATAAGACCATTTATATGAAATTACTTCTTTCTCCCTGGTTAGATTTCAGCATGTATATATATATATATACATGCGTAGCAAAGCAGAGTTATATTGAAAAAGTCAAATTCATCTACGATCTACCTGTTAAACCATAAATACTTACAATTCATTGTAGAAGCAATGCCTTCCCGTGCAGTTATTCTATCGGTTCTCATAGTTATGGTCGCATTATGTATTGATGTATCGCAATCAGCTAAGATTGGCCTTTATGCAGATCCAAAGCACACGGGACCTATTCTCGCATGTAAGTGTATATATGTATTGATAGCTGTGTTCTTCTTATTCTCAGCTTTCATGTATATCTAGTTCACACCATGCGTGATCGTTCATGTTACGACTTAGACAGCTCGGAAGACAATCGAGCTTCTGCAGTAAACACGTTCGGAAACTGTTTTGTTTTGTTTGAGCATCCAAAGTGCAAAGGACGTCAAATGAAAGTTAAACCTGGTGAAGGGTGTCATGCTAATCTCAAACAGTGTAATTTTGACGATATCACATCGTCATACCGGTCATGTTAACCAAAACTTTATTTATTTATATTCAAGAACTTACATGATTTTTCTAATTAAAATAACTTTATATCTTAAATATGCTATTTTTTCTGCTTTGAACCGATGATTATATGATTTATTCCATTAATGTAAACCCAAGTTTAACATGATTTTTAATTATTTTTCTTTTATTTCTCTAAATAAAAGACTTGATATTTTTCCTCATTATCAAAGATTAATTTACTGTTAGGTATGGGTGTGAGTGTATGATGGGTATGGATGTGAAAGTATGTGTTAGAAATAAGATACAGCGATTACTTCATATTCAAGTTCAATAAACAGTAGTATTATATACATTTAAACAGTTTTATTCGAAAACTCCAGAATTCTAAAAAGTGAAGCGTACTAGTCACAATAATACTATATAACTATTTACATAGTTACAAGCTAGAATTCTATAATTTTAGAATAGGACTGCGTCTCATAAATTTTCTTTAGCTGATTTATCTAAATAAATTAATGGATATTTCAATTTAGTAAGATGTCGTGTATTTCGGCTCGAATGACTACAATGACTTATTACATTTTATCTAACAAGATACCTTGAAAAACATATATCATATTTTCAATATTAATAATTTTTCTACTTGTATTTAAAAAACTATTTCGATAAAGAAAAACGATAGTACTGACATCTTTCTAACGTTTATCAATTATGTTTATTGGTTCATTCGTATTAAAAGGCACGAAACAAAGACATTATGAGTCGATAGAATCAATAATCAAATTTGAAAGAAATCCGTTTGTTTCTTGATATTGCTTTACTTGTTTTAAAAAAAAGAATTGACAATGTCTGTTAATCAATCGATGCAAATGTTAACAGTTGTTTGGAATGACAAACGTTTTATGGCATCAAAATCTGCACGTAATGCAGCTCGTCGAAGTGTTTTTCGAGCAACAACTAGTAAGTTAGAATTAAAAAAAATGATATATACTTTATTCATTGATTATTTTCGTAGTTATGCTTAACTCTGAATTAAAAACACTTGAAAGTCAAAATAATGAAATTCATCATGAAACAAATCGATGTCGTACGGATTTACAAAAATATGATGATAAAATACAAATACTTGATAATATGGCTCATTTAGCAACTCAATCACTTGAAGTTTATTTTCAAGCAGTAAGAATAATTTATTAGAAAATAAAAATTCTCATCTGTTTTGTTTTTAAACAAAAAAAGCGTATGGAAAATTTACGTACATTTGTTACCGAACAATGTCGAATTATATCAGATGGTATACAAGAAGAAGCAGATCATTGGAAAGAAATTCATGCTATGTTACAACAGTAAATTGAATATGAATATATTTTAAGTGTAATTTAATACTTTATTTTATAGAAAATTAGTTGTGCCAGGTGATTTACGTTCCTATGGTGGAGGTAATGGATTACCACGTGCTGTTAAACAAAGTCCGAATTTTAGTCGAATTGCCGAAGTAGAAGAAGAAGAAGAAGAAAATGAGGAAGTAGAAAAGATACATAATGTATCTACTTTATTGGTAAGATGTTAATCAATGTCAGATGTTTGTAGTAGAGCTTCTTTCCTATGATTAGATGTAGTTTTAGAAAAACTTAATAATCCTTCTTTTGACTTAATATTTGTCGAATATATTATTAGGAATCAGATGAAAGAAAGATATAAAATTGATCAGTTGCTTTGGAGCTGTGTTTGTATACTTCATGTAGTCTGCAGTGAACTGATTACTTTGTAAAGAGTTGAAATCAATAACGTATGGGTATCAAAATACTACGTTGTTACTTTCATGTTTAACATAATAAGATGACCTGTTTGAGAAATATCAGAAAAACTACTTTCCGAATTTTGAAAGTTTTGGAAGAAATCACTCTTATCAGAGTCAATCTTTCTGCCAGGAACACATATTCTTATGCAACATTTAGTAGATAATAAAATTTGAATTTTTCATTTTTTAAGCAATCACGAACATTGACACCATTAATTACTCAATCATTAAAGAGTAAGTTAGCTTAATAGCAATTTTCAATTGTTAATATTTATTTTTTATTTACAGAAGTTCGTTTATTGGCATCAAAATTATCTAAAGATACATCAGTCGTTATTCCGCCTCAATTGGATATGTCAACAACTGTTCATGAAGAAACAGTAATTGAAGAACCAGCACAACCAACTTCAATTATACCTGAAACTCATGTTACATTACGTGATGTATCTGTTATTGAAAAAGAAACTGAAATGAATCATGATATACCTAATCCTGATTTATCTGTTTCACTTTTACCTTATATGCCAACAGCAAATCTTGAAGATGAAGATGAAGATGAAGAACAAGACCATGAGCAACAAAATAATAAATCGATAGCATCAACTATTTCGGATAAAACATTTGTTAAAACTTCTCTTAAACCATTTTCATCTGACGAAGAAAGTGATGATGACGAAGATGATGATGATGATGATACTATCATGGAAGAAAGCCTTACTGCTGATAGTACTGAAAATGCTCGTCCATTATTATTAACTGCTGATCGATCAATTCGTAGACCACCACCAATACGTGAAGAGAAACCAAACATAAAACAAGAAAGAGTTAGTTTTCGTGAACCATTAGTTATCGAACATGATCATTCAAATAAAACATTATTATTAAATAAGAGTACATTTGATACAGAAAAATCAAGTTTTATTCGTCCGACTATTGTTGATAAACATAATATTTCAAAACTACCGACAATTGCATCTGATAATTCGTAAGAATATGTCAAATATCTCATTTTTGTCTATATAGAATTCATTTAGAAATGAAGAAGAAAACACTGATGTTGTACATCGAACAGAAGAGAAACAAATTGATGTTGATGTACCAATCAATGTAGCTGAAATCTCAAAAAATCCAATTGTTGAACAATTACCTGTTTCAACAGCTGTCGAAAACAATACGAAAAGAAGAACTACTCGAAGAACTACAACTCGTCTCTTTCGAGAAAATCAAACCGGTAAGAAACTATAAACTAATAGAGTCTAGATAAAAGATAAGCATGTATTAATTTACTAAGCCTACAAGGTTCGAGTTTGAATTAGACATAGTATTGTTTATAATTTAGACAATTTACCAACACAAATACCTGCTGAAGTGCCAAAAGCACGATATGCTACACGATATTCTACTCGATATTCTACTCGATTGGCCAGTTCAGTCAGTAACGAAGAAGTTACAATAACAAGAGCATCAACAATTCATCGCCGAACAACACGTTTTACTTCTGAATGAAAGAAGTAGAAGAAAACTATGATGTATATATCCTTTGCGTGTATTTAATTAATTCATATAATGAAATAAAATTGTATACTGTTTTCTTTATTATGTATTATAATGTAAAGAATAAAATATCTTATTTCGTATTGTATTAATAATAATTTTGAAGTAAATTGGCGCGTATATATAAACATATATCAACTTCTTTAAATATGCAATATGAAAATTTTAGTCGTCATCTTCGACAAAAATATTCCACATGTTTACATGTTGCTGATCAACTTGCTGATCAACTTAAACAGAATAGTCAATCAAAAATAATACCTACGTCTGTGCATGAATTGCATAATCAAAATATGTTGAAAGCTCAACAAGAAATTTCTTTTCCATTAATATCTTATTTAAATAATATTGAATGTGTTAAGACGAAATCAATTGAGAACAATCAAGAATATAAACCGTACTTTAATGAATGTATTTTACTAGCACAACGAATTAAAAATAATCGACATTCTTCTAATCGGGATCGACAAATTTGTTATGAAAATTTAATTTTAACACAAAAATTAGAACGTATTAAGAAGCAATCAGGAAAAAAAGATTATAAAAATCATTGTCATTTATTATTATCAAAGGTTAATTCTACACAGAATCATTCTACCGAACAAATCAATCAGACAACTGTTGAAGAAGAAGAATCTATAGACTCTAGTGAAGAAAAATTCTCTGGAACGATAGTACGATCTCATTCATCATCTGAACATGAAGATGATCAAGCAACAGCAGCTGATGTTGATGCTACGATGAATTCTTGTCATTCAAAATCAACTGTAACATGGAAAAAACGAAAAATATTTCGAAATAATTGTATACAAATAAATGATAATCGTATTTACCAACATCTGAATAATATTGATATGACAATGATTAGAGATACAATGCCTTTGTCAACATCGCGCAATTCTAAACATTTTTCTATCTGTGTTCTTCCTCGTTTTGAATCAATGGACAATCACTCAAAAGTTGTATTACATGATCAAAAATCTGCATTTAAAAGAGAGATTTTGTATCATTAGAACCTTAGAATAAAATATCAAGTGAAGGTTATCAATATAATTATCAGTCGAGTGTTATTGTAATGTTCTCTAACGAGAAAAGATATTCATTATAGTAATAAATGTAAGGCTTTTAAGAATCGTTTAAGCTTGAATGATGCTACTGTGCAGCTGTTACAGTTTGTATGTCAAGGAAAGTAAATGAAATAGTTTTGATAGTATTGTAAGAATAACATTGCTGCTTATTTTCATTTATGAACAAACTTTGAAGAATAATACATGCGTCATAACGAATGACGAAATATATATATTCTAAATATAGAATCGTATGATAAGATGAAGATCGTGATAAAAAATGATTAGCTGTATATGTTTATTTTCGTTCTTTCAGCACGAATGACAGACAAGATAAGGTGATGTTTTTTTGACATAAACAGATAATTGAATGTAAATGACGTCGTTTTTAATTCGTATAAAATACTATATCTCTTTATTCATTAGAATAATTGTAGTCGAATAAAAATGTTGATGAAGATTTTTGCGATTATAATTATTCAATTATAATTAATAGGTTATTCTTTATTATATAAAATGTAGTAATTGAAATGAAATTTATCTATGTCATATTCAGCTAAGAATTATTGTCTCTCTTTAGTATAATTGAAGTAAGTAGGTAATAGAAATTTGAACTCCATTATGTTTTGGTATATGAAAAATAATTAAACCTAAGTCTAATTCTATCCATTATCTAGAAAATTCGATTATTCTTGATTTATAATACAGTAAGGCACGAACACAATTTCCATTAGCAACTGAGAATATTCTATAAATAGTCAGATAAGAAATAATCGAGTGTGATTTAATTGTAGATCTCATATCCAGATAATTTTATTCCCTGGAGAGAACATAATAAAACATTTTCATCACAAACAACAACAACAATAACATTATGTGTGTATAATTGTATACACATACTTTTTAAGCAAAGCACAAACAATATTCAAAGCTACAATGCTATCATATTTTCGATTAAATATAATGATAAAATTATCTTCATCAAAAAACCAAAAACAACAATAATAACAATAATAATGATTTCACATTTTTTCGAATTTAATAAAATAAAATACAATGACACCAACATCATCAACAATAACGACAACAACAAAAGAAAAATTAGCTTGGCTACTTTCCAATAAAATAAAAATGTCAATTAACAGATAAAGAATTGCACCGGTTTTTTTGGAAGACAAAATAAGTAAGAGAAAAAAAAGAGAGAGAAGAAAGCAAAATAGACTAGAAGAAAAAAGAGAGAGAGAAAGAAATTAATATACATAATTATCCATGTTTTTTGCCATATACAGAATTCATTAATCGTAGACAACCTCGAACCATTTTTGAGAACCAATATAAATTAATAATATCAAGTACAGTACATACAATAATAAGAACAAATCGAAAATGACCCATATGTGACCATAATGGTGTTATTGCAACTGTATAGACTTTATACCAATAAATAGGCATTGCTAATATACGAACAAAAAAGAAAACTAATGTCATCAAAAGACCATTCAATACAAATGCTTTTGATGTTTTAGAAAATTTTAATGTATCAAGAAACCATCTAAAATATATTAATAGAATTGATTATTATAAGAATAAGAAAAAAACTAATTTACCTTATATTTACTAAAGGTGTTGATAATTCAGCAAGTAGTCGAAAATTAGCAAAGTATGGCATTACATTAAGTGTTAATACATATGCAAAAGCATATATAGAAACTAAATGATGAGCCATACTAAATGGATCACCAATTTTTCGATAATGTATCATACTTATTACTGTGTCTAAAAAAAGAATTTTATATATCATATATTGAAGCATTCTGAAAATCTTTGCATACTAAGTAAAATGATCAATTAGAGCGAAATCAAGATTATATTATTTTTACGAGCTTCAATCTAATAGAGTCATTATCATGTTAATGAAAACTGCAATAATATATCTACAAATTAATCTGAAATATTGAAGAGGAAAAGGTCATCTATCTCGTTTGAATTATCTTCCGTTTGTATATCATCTCGATGTTAGGAAAATAATTAAAACTATTTTTACTTGGTAAACTTTTTGAGAAATTCCCTTCAGGATCTGCAGTATTCATCTTATTCAGAAATGCTCATTACAGATGTAAGGTATTATTTTGATAAAAAGTTAAATCTTTCTATAATGAATACATTTAAAATATCAACATAAGTATCCATTATAGACAAGATTTACTATACTATCAAATCTTACCGCTTAATAAATATCCAATGACAATTGATAAATTAGTTTTCAATAAATAACTTTTATATCTATTAGAAATTAAGTTATTATAGTCGTTTCGAAGGTTTAAATTATTCTTACAGAAGTGGATTAGCTTCAAGACCATGATCAGCAATCATCATATATACACAAATAGTACCAACCGTAAATGAATTAATTGATGAATTAATTCTACAAAAAAACAAAATAATCATTATTAAGTTTGAATTTAAATTAGATTCTATATTTACCTAGTACTCCAATCAACTTTCTGTGTTTCATTAAAATATTTATAATCTTTTATTAATAAATTGGATAAAATTGGATTAAGAAATTTGTAAAGAAAGATAAATAAAGTAAAACTTGTAGCTACAACTGGTAAAAATGTTGGATCAAATTTGATATTGAGCATTTGCTCAAAATTATAATGAGAAAAATATTTTGTTGGTGTTGTTGTTGTCGTCGTTGATGTCATTATTTCTTGTCTCGTATTTATAATTCACCATATATTATTTCTGAAAAAACCAAAATATCTGATATAACCTTAACTTTTATATCTCATATATTGATAATATCAAATGTCCTTTTTCTAGTTTAGTTCATTTTTATATTAGAATAAATGAGTAATGAGAAAAAACTGATGCAATAAATAATGATGTGGAATAAAACTATCATTAAGAAGGAAGCATTTCATGATTCATAACAAGCTTTATTCTTATCCAATGATTCTTCTACAACTAAGCAGAGGTCGTTCGTTGCTCAACGAAAGCAGCCGTTCTCTATTCATTAAATATTGTTTTGCTAAATATGACTTATAAATATCTGATATAAACTGTCAAATATTTTCGTGCCTTAAACTAATGAGTAAGGAAAATAACGCTGTCTAGTGGATAACTAGAATAGCAATAAATTACTCGAATTTTTGAATCGGGGCAACAGGTTACCCACTTGAGTAGATTCTACTACTTTTCAGAATCTGCTCGTGTTGTAGCGACCTAGCCCCATTCATAAATATTTATTTTATTTATCACACATAACATAAGAATAAAAAACAAAATCATAGAAGATAAAAGACACAAAAAATAATTCTTATATTCGTTAAGCATATACATAAAAACATATATCAATATCATTCAAATAAATAATACTAAGATCGAAATTGAATTTATCAGATGAATAGTTATATTTTAATATTTGACATATTTATTTTACGATCGTATAGAACTTGAAATTTCATAATCAAGCATTTGATCAAGTTCTCGATTGAGATCAGATAACATTGAATCAATATCAGATAAAACATTTGTTGTATCATTTCTAGAAAATAATAGTAAATATAAAAGAAGATTATTAACGATATCTTACTTGACTATTTTATTTTGTTTATCATTAGGAAATACTTCTGTATAATGTGATCGTTTATCTGTATTTGATAATGATAAATCATGTCCATTGATTTGTAATGGTGATTTTCTTATAGATGTATTTTTATGAGTAAATTCATCATTATTATCATAAATAGGTATTGTTGTTGCTGTTAATGGATATGTTGTTGATTGTTGAAAAAATTCCATAGGTAATGAACGTTTCATTGTATCATATGCTTGTTGCCCAGTCAATGTATTATAATGAGTTGATGGTGAACGTTGTTT